GGCCCTGGGTTATTCCTTACATAATTATTGGGCTTGATGTTCCAAAATGCAAGATGATATGGCCCAGAGACATAAAACCCAGGAAAAAAACCTGCTTGAAGTATAGACTATAATACACACACCTAAAAATGAGTGAGGGCTTGAGTGGTTTGGGTGCTGTGAACCTGAACACTCAGGTTTGTCAGGTCCTGCATTACCCTGATTGAAGCTTTCCTGATTTATGCTAAAATAACTGTGTTGCACTGAGTGCAGGTGTCAGTGTCATCTCAGCCACAGCCAGTTTTTTCACTGATGAGGTCCTGTAGGAGCAAACTGATCTGGTTGTCAGCTCTGCCTGCCTTTTATGGAAATAGATGGTTCTCCTGAAACTGTTATTTCCAGCTGCTCAGCACAAGTGGAGACAACTTGCATAAGTTCGAGGGAATAGCTGGGAGACTTTGTACCATTCTCGTGCTGGCAAGAAACAGAAAAGGCTACTCAATAACAATGAAAAAGAGAAAGTAATGAAAAATAGGAATAAAAAAAGGATTCTCGCTGTCCTGGGTAGTTCCCTACAAGCTCTACAACACAGTCACTGTTTTCTCCTGCAGGATGGATTCTCTTACTGCTAACTGCACCAGATCCTCTCCCTTCCTAATTAACATGCCCTTTCCTGCTGGCAGCTCCTGCCTGGGACATCAGGGTAGATGTGGAATGCTCCTAGAGACTGCACCTTCCTGGGTCTACTTCAGGAGCTCAAGTGCAAATAGATTTCTTTTTTGCAAGCCAATTTCAGCTCCTCTAATCTCGTTGCAAATGGCTTTTAAGAAGGGTTTGTAATCCTTGTGGCCAAGAGGCTCAGGGCCAAGTGTGTTGGATTTTTGTCATTCCAAGTGTCACTTGTGCCTTTTCAAGTGCTGCTGATAAGCCGTGGAGATATAAACTGTCCCAGGCTGCTGGGAAACCACGTTGAGGGGGAATACAAGTTGTTTAATCGAAGCTTGGCTGTTAGGCTGAGAGGATTTGGTCTCTCTTCAACGTTTATTTTAGGCACTTTGCACTTTTGAGGAAGTTCAGAGAGCTGACTCTGGGAGGTGTTTTTAAACTCCATCCTGGCCCAGGAACAGTGTGAAGCTCAACGAGTCCTTCGTGGGTTTAAAGGTGCAGATATGGAGCTGTGCTGATAAAACATGCAGGTTTGGCTTACTGTTCTGGCATGCCTCCATGGGTAACCTGATTTCCGTGGGTTTACATCTCATGTGGAATGTTTTACCTTACTTTTAATAGCTGGTTCTTCACAGCCCTTAGAAATAGCCATTTTTTTTCCACATAGCATTAAATGAATTAGAATCAGACTGGCACCAGATCACCTAAAAGTCAGCTTCTAGATTCTTTAGGTCAGCATTTAGCTAGAAATCATTTGTACCTCAATAAAATACAGACCTTCTGAGGTGTTTTTGAGTGACCTAAAGCACATCACTCTGTGAAGGACACTGGGTTTTTGCTTCAGTGAGAGCAGAGTGGCTATTTCCACGTTCACTCTGATATTTGGAGGGGTTTTTGGTTATAAAACTCTGTCTTGAATTACCTTGTGAGTATTTAGCACCTGAACTGTTAGCGCAGCCTCCTGAGTAGTTTAGTTCCTGGACATCAAAGAGGTGAGCTGAAATATTCTGAACGCCAGGACTTTGGTCCTGGATTCAGTAAATCCCTGAATTCTTATTTTCCTGGCGTCTCCGTCGCTCCCTGCAGCTCCAGAATTTCACACTGTGTGCAGATGAAAGGGTGAAAAGATGAAGTGGAATGAAATGTGCCTTTGGTCCCAGCGAGGTTTGCTGCCTGGGTTGCAGCAGTCTGATCTGCTCTCACACCTGTGTGTTTCTGGGGAAGGGATCTCATGGAATTGGTTAAAGCAAACAAGGCAAAGAGGCAGGGGAAGCTCCTGTTTGGGGAGTGGAGTTCAGGTCAGTGTTTTACACTCACCTGGCCGTTGGAGAGTGAGAAGCAGTGTGAGGTGACATAACAGCCTTTACCTTTTGGGGGCTGTGAAAAGCCACATAACAAGCCAGAACACTCAAAGAGGACAAGAAGAGCAGTGAGTCTACAGCACAATTCCATCTTGGGTTGTACATTTGGCTGGAGCCTGAGGACTGACCCTGATTTCCCTCATCTCTCCACAGCCTGCAGCAGGCAGTGCCGGAGCTGCGACTCGGCTGCGAGCTGTACGTCCTGCAGAGACCCAGCTAAGGTGCTGCTCTTTGGAGAGTGCCAGTATGAGAGCTGTGCTCAGCAGTATTACCTGGATTTTGCCAGCAGGACTTGCAAAGGTGAAAAATACATTGCAGCTTTCTAGCAAAGCAAAGAGGGACACGGCTAAGTACAAGTGCCTTGCCAGGCTGAGTGGCTGTTCTTACCTGTCTCTCTGTCTTGTTGAGTCCTGTGGCAGTGGGTGACTCCAGAAACAACAGTTCAGAGTGATTTCAAAGACACATGGCTCCAAAGGTCTCCAGAACCCCCAAGGAGAGTGTTCCCTAATGGAAATGAGGGAGGATAAGGTGGATTTATTGCAGCTCACACTGCTGAGGACAGGATATGCTACACATAACTTGTTCGGTGTTAAGTCTTTGCTCACGACCTGCACTTGGCTTCACTGAGTCACATCTGTGCCTGTACCTCTGTGGTTCTTCAGAGAGCTCTGTGGCCTGGAGATAGTGTTGGAATGAGGCAGGACTCTTGTCCTGGACTTGGGTCATGCTGCATGGATCGGAGTAGCTCAGCTCACCCTGACTAGTCCTTGTGTCCCCTCCTCTTGTTCCAGCCCCTTTGTCTCATCAGCTGAATGTGTCTGTGTTCATTGCTGGCAGACACCTCTGAAGTGCCACCAAGGAGCAGAGAGTGGCAGTGGCAGCCTGAGGAGTCCCTGGGCTCGGTGTGTGGCTGGGACTCTGCTGAAACCTGGAGTGGGGATAGTGCAAGGCCATGTGAAGGCAGATCTGATCCCAGCTGGATCCAGTGTGTCTCTGGCTACTGCACTTTCCAGAGGGACATGTGGGCTGTGAGGGACAGGGATAGCATTTTCTTTGGTCAGAGTCCTTTGCAAACATGAGGTGGATGATGCAGGGTGGATAATTGCTAATGGACCACAAACTGTGTTGGCAGGTAAAGGAGCATTCCTGGGATAAATTCACTCAGTACACATCATGCTTTTCCTTGGTTTTTTAGTATTTTAACAGTTTTCACTGTGTTCTTTGCTCCTGGGGCTAATATTCTTGTGTATATATATTCTAGCTTGTAAAGCCCAACTGCTAAGCCCTTGTGCAGGGTGAGCCCCCAGAAAGGGCTGCCCTGAGTGGGTTTGTGTTGTCTTCCAGAGTGTGACTGGAGCTGCAATGCCTGCAAAGGGCCCCACAGGACTGACTGCCTGCAGTGCATGGATGGCTACGTTCTCCAGGACGGAGCTTGTGTGGAACAGTGTCCTGCAGCTTTCTACCCGGAGTCAGACACGTGCCAGCGTGAGTTCTTCTGGAGTGTAACTTCTAATCACTGCTCCCAGCACCTTTCTCTGCTTGTCTCCAGAGCTCTGTCAAGCTGAACTCTCTGCCTGTGACTTTCAGGATGTGATCCACCCTGCCTGCAGTGCCACCAAGCAGACCAGTGCAGCCTTTGCCCAGCCCCATTTTTCCTCCTGGACACTCAGTGTGTTCCCAAATGTGGGGAGAGATATTATGCAGATCAGACGCAGCAGAAGTGCACAGGTAAGCACAGTGGGTGTGGTGTGGGGAGAGGGACCAGGGCTGTAGTTTGTGCTTGTCAGACTTGTCCATGAGGTGTTGCAGTCACCTGAGGATGAGATTACAGGCTCTCTCTGCATGTAGATATGCCTGACTCAGGAGGAATGAGATTCAGTGTGGATCCCTGCTGGGGTGTGTGTATATACACACAGAAATAAAGTGCAGGTATTAAACCCACATTTTTAGGAAGGTTTCACTTGTATCTATGGGTTAATAAGCTCTGTAGAACTTAGTCTGTTCAGCCTGGAGAAAAGGAGACTGAGGAGAGATCTCAGAACAGGCTACGACTTCCTCACTAGGGGAAGTAGAGGGGCAGACACTGATCTCTTCTCTCTGTGACCACTGACAGGACCTGAGGGAACAGCAGGAGCTGCATCAGGAGAGGGTTAGGCTGGATGTTACTAAAAGGTTCTTCCCCCAGAGGTGTTTGTGCTCTGGAACAGCTCCCCAGGGCAGTGGTCATGACCCCAGGCCTGGCAGGGCTCAAGGAGCCTTTGGACAAGGCACGTGGTGGCATTCTTGGAGTTGTCCTGTGTCCAGGAGTTGGACTTTGATGATCCTTAAGGGTCTCTTCCAGCTCATGATATTCAATGATTCTATAACAGTTAGATAAAAACATGTTTCTTCCATTTGAAAGATCATCTCAGGTTCTCTGTGGTCAAGTGAGGAAGGAACTTCTTACTATCTCCCAACTCTTTGCCCCTTATTTTGGGTGTTTTTGTCAGGTAGGTAAGGCACAAACAGCAGTGATGTTCTTGTTCTGGGCCTGGGGTCAGCTCTGTGTGCCAGTGGCTGCACTGGCTTTGCAGTGTCTCATTGGGGTTGTGCTTTCCTTCCAATTCAGCTTGCCCTCCTGGGTGCTTGGAGTGTGACAGTGACAGCCTGTGCCAGCTCTGTGACAGCACCACGTTCCTGAAGAACCAGCTGTGTGTTTCTGCCTGTGGCCAGGGCTTTTATGGCAACACAAGGACCAGAGAGTGTCAAGAAGGTGAGTGTCTCTTGTGATAAAGTGACTGAGCAGATTTTAGAGCCAGAAGAAGTGTTCATTCAGTCACATTTTTGGAACTGGGTTTTTTGGTGATTGTTGAAAGTCAGCAGCTGTTTTTCCCCAGCTTTTCTGTTTCCTAAGATGTGCATGTTCAGTTCAAGGAAATCGAGATGGGAAGTGATCTGCCCAAGTCATGGTGAGGGTTGGGCTGGATTACAGTTCTGCTTGAGGCAGTGTTTCTCCACCTAGGTCAGGGATGGACAGGACAGTGTAAGGGTCTGCTCTGTTGCCCAAACAATGTTAGTGACAAGCACAGAGCCAGTGCTGCCTGTGCTAAGTCATCCAGTGACACTTCTCCCTTCTTTCCTTTTAGCCAGCAAGCGTCCTGCGAGCAGCACCCTCACAGTAGGGATTGGCAGGGTGACACCCCTAGACCTCTCCTTGCTGGGTGTGTGTGATCCTGATGGTGACACGGGCCAGCTCCTGTTCCATGTGGACAGCATTCCCTCCAATGGCAGGCTGGTGCAGGGCGTGGAGGGGCAGGAGGTGCCCCTGAGCAGAGGTGACCACTTCAGCTGCAGGGACGTGCAGGAGAGGAGGGTTCGCTTCCAGCACAGCAAAGGCAAACCCAGGTGAGTTGGGGGGGACAATTCTTTTTCCAGCTCTTGCCTTAAAAACAGCTGATGTGCCTTGAAAACAGGTTTTCTTCTTCCTTGGAATCATTCCTACAGTGATCTTCTCCCTGCTGTTAAATCAACCCCCAGTGTGCTACCATAGCATATCTGCTGGTGCAAAACCCCTCAGCTTGTGGTGTAAGAGGTCACTGTGACTCAGCTCCCAAACCTGTTGTGCTTTGGGGCTGTGGGAATGTGTCTCATCTTTAGGACACCCTGCTGTCAGTTAAACCTGGCATATCAGTCTGATTCTTCCAACAGTTTCTTGGTATCATTGGGAAGATGCCCAAGTGGTGTCACCACTTGCTCTCTGGCACAATCTGGCTCCAGCCATTAGCTGTTTGCCTCCAGTGTGAGCTCTGTGAGTGCCCTGGAATAATTAGTGGTGATTAGTAGCTGGCACAGCTCTCACTGCTGGCATGTTGCAAGGAAGCAGATTTTTCCTGCAGCCAGGCAATCAGCCACTCATCCCACCGAATTTCACACTTGATTTACATCACCAGAAAGCCTTGGGACTAGGCTGATACCAGTGGAATTGTTCTGCATTTCTGCCTGTCTCTATCAGGGAGTTCTTTGATCTAAATAGGATCTAAAGAAGACTTTCAGGGTGTCACTGGACTTCAGGCATGTGTTTCTGTATCCTGCTTTGGTTTTGGTCTCCCTAGTAGTGACAATGAAAGGTCAGAGTCTTGTCTTGAGAGACAAAGCTGCTTTATGTTGAAGGTTTTTGGGTGGCATCATTGGAAAGTAAATGGGAAGGAAAAATCCTGCCAAGTGGGAGCTCCTGTTCCAAAAGCAGATAAGTGATGTTTTTCTTGAGCAGCAAGTATCTGACATCTAGAATTGGCACTTTATCTTGGAGGTGCCATCCCAGGTGGGTGACATTGGTTAAAGGGAAATGAGGGTATATTACATAGCTAAAGGTATTTTATTACATGCTGTGACTGTTGTGAATCTTCAGGAAAAAAAACTATAAAGCCAGAATTGAAACCACTTGAGCTAAAGCTTCTGTCACTGAGCCACTCATTTTTACTGAATATGTGATTTTTTTAGCATTACTGAGTCCTGCAACAGCACTTCATTAATCTTTATTATCCTGTTTTAGGAAAGGACAGTTTTCCCTGAAGGTCAGTGATCAGCAATCCTTCTCCCACCCTGAGGTGATCCACATCGAAGCGTTTTCCACACAGGTAATGGAAAAAGCTTGCAAACAACTCTGAATTTTGTACCATTTGGAGCCCTGGTTTCTTGCAGGGATAACCAAGGAGCTGGAGCTCAGATCAGGCACGTTGGACTCAGCTGTCCCTTGGGAGAGGCAGCCAAGAGTCTGCTGGGAGAAGGGGCTGGGGGAAGTGACTGAAGAAGCTGTCCCCTGTCATTTTGCTGTGCAATCACAGGGCAATTATCAGAGAGGGCTGAGGAGTCCCTACTGCTCCAGTTATCCTTGGGATCGATGGATGGTCTAGTTCAGCCTCTGACTGCAGGAGGGTTGAGTGGTGATTGATCCCCATGGCAGGGATGCATTGCCACTCAAGCTCAATGCTCTGTTCTGGGACAGCAGGGAATTAAATCAGCATGAGCTGTTTAAAGTGTGTCTCCTAAACTGCTCCCCACTTCTAGGCAAGGTGGTGGTGCTGCCAGGTGTCTGTGTCTCCTGTGTTACTGCTGTTTAAACTCGGTGGCATGATGCCATGCCTCAGCCCAGTGGTGGCATGGGCACTGTGACAGGCTCCAGCTTTCCAAGGAGGCTTTGCAGCTTGCACTGAGCCTTCTCCAGAGTGGAAAGCTCCATCAGAACTTGTGGCTGCTTGGCATACTCTTGCAAATAAAGACTTAAAAGTGCAAAAGAGAATCTGCTACTCTTGAGGCCCATTTCCATCCTCAGAGGGGCATTCAATGGCTTGTTAGAACTCCTAGTGCTGACTCCAAGCCTGGCTCAGCCTCCATCCTCACCGTGAGTCATTTCTATTCCATATTAGTCATCCCCATAATTTCTGGAAATCAGGACTGTTGTCGTTTGTCCTTTAAGGCAAACTGTGGGTTTTGATCCTACCCTGTGTACATCGATTGTGGCTGGTGCTGAAATCTTTGCTCAGCCTAATCTCTTGTTTACCTCAGTAGGACATTCACCTAAGTTAGAGCTGCAGTTGCTGCCCCAGAATGCTTAAGTGAGGTTTAATGACAGGAATTTCTGCCTGTCGATCCCTAACAGCCCTGAGGAGTCATGCACAGGTGAGGTGGCAGCAGTTGGCTCTCTGATGAGTGTTCCCAGCGTGTGACTTTGTGGGATCACCTCCCTCCTGGGGCAGCATGTTCCCCGGGCAAATGATGGTTATTGGTATCAATAGACACTGCTGATGTAAACTGCCTTCACAACAAAGAACTAGAGAACTAGTTTGAACCAGCAGAAAAATGGCCCCTCACTGACCTGTGGTTTGATGAGGCTGTGGGGAATCTTGAAAATTAAGTGAAAACTGATGCTGATGACACCCAGTTTTCTGTCATCTCAAAAGGCTAATGGAGATCAGTTGGAAGCAGATGGTTTCTATATAAATATCCTAAGTTTTTTCCTTTCCTAAGCTTGCTGTGGCATTGGAATTTTCTTTTCATGTCACTGGTTCAGTCTAAATTGCTCAATATTCTGTTGGGGGGAAAAGTGTGGGGGACCATTCTCTGCTGCTAAGAAACAGGACATTTCCAGGCATGAAGTGAGCTGGTTTCCTTAACCCCAAACTTGTCATGCTGCACTTGGATCATGATCCAAGGCTTAGCAAACACCTCAGAGCTGCCTTTGTGTTCCAGGCCCCATATGTGTTCAGGAACAAGCCCCTCTTCGTCCACAGAGGGGAAACTGGGACGATAACAGAGCTGTTACTTGGTGTGAGGGACAGTGACAATCCTCAGGATGTTGTGCTGATGGTTTTGGAGCCTCCACGTCATGGGCAGCTGCTCAGACCTCCTGGGGACTCAGCATCTCCCATCCACACGTTCCACCTGGATGACCTTGTGGGTGGACAGCTCCGTTACGCTCACGATGGCTCTGACACACAGGATGATGTGGTTCTTCTGCAAGTCAATGATGGGTACCACTTCCAGAACATCCTCTTCCACATCAAGGTTGCTCCCAAGGTATGTGCTGTCACATAAAGCCTGCCCAAGCCAATGAAAAGTCTGGAGAAGTCCCAGTGTGTCCCTGAGGTGTCACTGAGTTCCCAGCAGGCTGTGGATGGAGGCAGGAGGTAGCAGTGGATTGCTGGAGTTCTGGAGGCCACCTGAAGTTTTGGGTTGCCACAGGAAAGATTCAGCTCAGCCTGTGCAGCTTTGAGCACTCAAATTCTGTGGCTCTTTGGCAAAAAGCAATAAACTATTAAAACAGAAGGGAAAAAGGCTGAACATTTCTTTATCCCTTGTTAATGTGAAAGAGTAACAACAACCAGAGGTGTCATTAGAGCTGCCAATAGGGAAGGCCACAGTTTGCAGTCTTTTCTGTAGAGATCTGAGAATTACCCTGTCTTCAGTTCCAGCCCTTGGGAAGGAGTTGGGAGGAGGTGACATTACCCTCTGCTCTGCTGTTTTAGGTGTCTTCACAGCAACCTGGGCATGGAAATTTGAAGGGAACTCTAGGAGCTCTGTGGAGTTTAGCACAAGGAGGGACTGATCTCATTTGGGTCCTGCAGGTTCCCCTGAGGCAGTGATTAGTGTTGATTAGTGCCATGACTCACACATCAGTCTGGGGATAAAAAAGGAGTTTGCTTTCCATGCTGCTGCTGATTAGACTCCTGGAATAAGAGCAGCCCTGTGGCTTTCTTCACCCAGATCACTTCCACCGCCCCAAGGAACCTGTTTGGGATCAGAAGGACTACAAAAATGCTTGGACACCACTCTGTGGTGTCTTTAACACTTCTTTTTTCCTTGCTGTTGATTAAGCAGCGTCTTGTGAATGCCAGTGAGAGTGAATTGCTGAGTGGAGTTTCTTTAATTAGCCCATTTTGCTCTCCCTTGTCTGTCCTTATCGTTGCACATCTCTGTGCTGCACAGGAGAATGGAGGTGGTGACAGAGGTGAGAGTGGAGCAGCTTCTAGGATGAGGGCAGAGCTGGCAGATGCCCAGCTCCTGCCTCCTCCTAATTATGCTCTTCATGGAGCAGCCTTGGAGCTGGAATGCACACTGGGTTTGTTTCTGAAAAGCTGCTCTTGAGGCACTTAGGTTTTTTAACTTGGTTTGCATCCAGAGATTGCTGAAGGGCCTGGTAGTAAACGAGGAGGAGATGATCCTTTAGATGGAGCAGTCAGAATTGTGACTGATCATGCAGTTCATCACAGCCAGTTTGAAGGTGCATGTGCAGAAATCAGGAAGAGAAATCACATTTACAGCAAGTGAGTTTGCAAGGAAGAACTGTGGCACAGAAGAGGTCACAGGGATTTTGGTGGCTCAACAAAGCATGAGCTAACAAAGCAATTTAGAGCCAGGAAGGGCTGATATAGTCCTTGAGTACCAGAGCAGTGTCACTGAATTAAATGGAAGTGGTAGTGAAACCATTGCTGCATCCAGTGCTGACATCTGCATTCCAATGGGCTTGAATTAATACTGGATAAATACTAATCCACAATAATCTGAAGGTTAGAAAAGCCATCAAGTAGCAAAAGACTTTGGTGGATGCTCAGACAGGATGAGGATGGTGCTAAGAGACAAAACTGTGGAGGGAGACTCAGGTCAGGAAGGTTTAGGGTCAGTGACAGGAAATGAGGCACACTGGAGACAAGGTCAGTGCTCCAGGCTGAGAATTGGGTCGAGGGATCCATGGGTGACATTGCATTAAGCCTTTCCCTGCTGTCCCTCTGCCTGCAGAGTACCAGGAGCCCTCGGCTGGTGACCAATTCCCTGGTGTGGGTGCCCCAGGGAGGAATGCTCCAGATCTCCAGGACAATTCTGCATGCTGAGCTGCCTGGAGCCAAGGACTCTGAGATCACCTACACCATCACCAAGGACCAGCCCAGACATGGTAAATCCCTTTGGAGTTGTATTGTCAAAGTGCTGCTTTTCACCTCATGGTATTTTGTGCACAACCAGTAGCATCTGGGGTACTGTTTCCTTGGAATACTGTGCTGGGTAAGTGCTGCTAACCTCAAATGGGCATGCAAAGTAGCAAAGCACTTTGATGGTCTTCTGAACTTTGTGTTTCTCCTGGTGTATTTACAGTCCTGAGAGAGTAAAATCTCTGCCAAAAGGTAATACCCTGCAATGAATGTCTAGGTAAGAGTAGCAAAGAGTAATATCTACCTCCAGAAACCACTGAGCAAAGGTTTTAACTTGATTTCACCTTGAAGTACTGGAGAACATCCTAAATCTTGTGAGATTTGGTTTCATTTGTACCAGTGGAAGGGGTTACCAGCTCAAACAGAAATCAGCTCAAACATTTGCATCTGTAGCTAGTTGCTGTCCCCACACTCCTGAAAGGCTCTGAGCTCACCTCTCAGGCCAGTGGCTTTCACCAGCAACCCCAGAGTGTCCTCTGGGCCCAGGCCAAGGAGGAGTGGAGAAGGATCTGGGGTTTGTGGCTGAGCTATAAATGGAGAGAACTGGGTGGAAAAGAGAAAGTGTCATATGTGCAGGGAAAGGAAATATGGAGATTAAAGAAAAATGTTCTTTCCTCTCTCAGCATCACCATTTCCATCACTAAAACCATCTTTAAATAACATACTTTGCACTTCTGAAAAAGGATATTGCATTTAATTTGCTGAGCTGGAGAAAACGAGAGGATCCCTCTAGCAACATCCGTGCTTTTCTGTTCCTTCTGCTGTAAGTTCAGGCTGTCTCCCGTGCCAGCTGCCAGCACCTGATGGAAACAGGGATGACATGAGTTCTGCAGTTCAGAAGACAAGTAATTAATTTGTATTCCCCCCTTGGTTTTCAGCAGATGAAGCTCTATCTGCTCATTTTTAATAAGCATTTACATGAACACAGGAATTTTCCCCCTGAGGAGTTTGTCTCCTGCTGCCTAACCCTAACTGCAATTTATAGTCCTCTGTTTGTATCACCATAATTATCTCTGCTGTGATTAATTGCTCTAACACCAACAGGTTTGTAGCTGCAGGTGAGGAATAAGCAGCAGAAATCAGTGATCTTCAAAATTTTATCTCCAAGAAAGGGAGAGAAAAATGATGAGAGGGAAATGTGAGAAATAGGTCCTGAATCCAGGAGGGCTTATCTGCCTCAGTCTGTGACTCATGGAAAAGGTATTTATACCTGGAGAAAATAGATAATTTGATTTTTAGACAGGAAATAAAACTACTTTACAATTAGCTGCTGCATTTCTCTGTGGACACAGAAGGCTGTTTGCCCTTTATTTCAAGCCTGAAACTGGGAGAAGAAGGGATATAATTAGGGAAGGAAGATTTCTGTCCTCTCCTGCTGCAGGGCTGGATTTGGGTCTATACAATAAGGCACCAGGGATGGTTATTCTTTCTAAGACCAGCTTACACTTTTCTACTCCCAAAGTGAAAAATGAAATGGTAATCATAGACTGTATGGATAAACACCAGAGCTGAGCCTTGTGGTGGCTCAGAGGTTCATTTATAAGGAGACATACAGATGTGCATCTTGCTTAAAGCAGCTCTGTGTCCTGAGCCTTCCTGCTCTTCCCTGGGGAGGGCTGAACAACTCCCAGGCCATCACTCCTTCGGGGATGGGATGAGCATGTGTAGAAATCCCACCAGAGATTAAGGTGGGGAATTGCCATGAGCCAAACCGGAAGGTTTGGGCACTGATAAGGGAATATCAGCACAGAGTTTGATCAGATGCCAGTGTGAATTTCAGCTTTATGACTCCAGCTGTTCCAGGGGTGGTTTAGGGAAGTGAAATGGGAGAGTTGATGGTGGGTGTTTTGCACAGCAGAACCATTAACTGTCAGGCAGCAGAATTATCAACCTGTTTAGCAGAATCACTGAACAAAGTGTTAATTCTGTTGTCAGCCTCATGAAGTTCAACCAGGCCAAGTGCAAGGTCCTGGGGCAGTCCCAAAACAGCAAAGACAGGGGAAACATAGAGTTATTCCTCATATGTTAACTCCAAACCAAGTCAATGACATTGCACACCATAAAAATATGCCATTTTTTGGATGCTTTGGCTCTTTGCTCTGATTTCATTTATGTGTGAGGTCAGGAACAATGTTCACATCAACCAAATTGGTGCCCAAGGTTTTGATCCACTTCTCTTGGCTCTTCGGGTAACTTCATTCCAGTCTGTGGTACATGAGTAGTGGCATCAAATCCAACCCTCAGAGGTCTCTGAGAGGGAAGCTGATAACCAGTGGGACATGGCCCCATCCTGCTGTTCCCTGGCACATCTGCAGTGAAGCCAGGGCAGTTTCAGTCCAGCTGAGAATCTATTTCTGATACAGAAACCAAAGCAGTGAGTTTGATGCTAGAAATGCAAAAGCTCTTTGGAGTAAGAGCTGCAAACCAGGGTGTAGACACTCTTTATCCAGAGGTCCTTTACTGTGTCTGTCCAAGAGCTCTTTTTCAGCTGGAGATTTCTGCTCAGAGAAGTTGGTTGAGTGTACTTTTTGGCATAATAAGTTCCCAAAAGAGCAGGAAAAGAGCTGACCTTGAAGAAATTAGTATGCTCTGTTCTGCCACCGAGGTTGTGCCCTGAGAGGGAAGATGGATAGGCTGCTGCAGTGCTTTCTAAGCCTGACTGTGTCTTGCTCTCTCATCCCTTCCCAGGAGCTCCCAAAAATGAGGCATGGCCTTTGCTGTTGTGCTCAGTTTATCAAGCAGGCACATTCCAAGGTTGCAGTGGGCTGGTTGTGGACAGAATGACATCTTAGGAGTTGAAAGTTGCAGATCCTGTTCTTTGCTTGACTCTTTTTTTCTTCTGAATGCCTGTTCTGTACTTTCTTGATCGCTCCTTCGTCAAAAACAGGAGGTGAAGTTTCTCTGTGTCATGAGGATGTTGCAAGGTCCTTTGATGGCTTTGGGGAGCTTTGCTGCTGTTTCTGTCACTTAGACTAAATGGAAAACAGCTACAGCTGGGTGGACACTTGCTTTGGGTGCTCATTAGCTGGTGAAAAGGTGTCTCCTCCTCCTTGTGGTCTCACAAGTTCCTCTTTGCTTCTCCCAGGGGAAGTGGTGCTCCTGGTCCCGATGCCTGCGGATGGCCCAGCAGGCTCCTGGCAGCTCTTACCTGATGGAAGAGCAGCCTCACCTACAGCCTCCTTCACCCAGCAGGACATCAATGAAGGCATTGTGTGGTACAGGCACTCTGGAGCTGAGGTGGAGAGTGACTCCTTCCAATTCCAGGTATTCCTCAGCATGTTCCTGGAGGCATCACACAGCAGTTCCCTGAGGTTACTCCTGCCAGTCCTTGTGATTCCAGGTGTTAAAAATGACACCAGTACGTGTGTAAATCCACACTTGTGTTTGCACACAGCCTGGTGTGTCTGTAGGGACTGTTGTGTACCTGTAGGTGATGTGCAGCTCCTACTCTGGATGTTTGGTTGCCCCATTTGCACCTCAGACAGGAGGTTTGACCCCTTGATCCTGCCTGGCAAATACATCACCCTCTGATAAACCCTGTAAATACTTAGACTAAGTGCCAGGTGTTCCAAGGGCCTTTTGAAAAGTAGTTTTGCAAGCCCCAAGCCCAAGCAACACTCCTGCTTCCTGCAGTCTCCAGGCCAGTCATTTCACTTTGGCTGTGGAGTCCTTTGTCTTGCAGGTAGAAATGCTCCTCAGCAGCTGGAATAGTAAATTAAATCCCTCTCCCCACGGGCTTAGCAGCCATAAAACTCCCCTGACAGTGCCTTCCTGTTTGCTGGGAGGGTCTGACACCTCCTGTAAGGCTAAGCTTGCACACAGTGTTTGGTACATGTAGTTTACAAGGCAGAAGCAATTACTGCAGCACAGGAGAGGCAATTAAGGTAATTTCTAAAGTAATTAACATAAGTGATAATGAGGAGTTTGTGAGCATCAGTGTTGAACAAGCTAATCTTTAGCTTAATTGCTGCATTTCCTCTTGCAGAGTATGCATTTTGCATGAGTTAAGTGTTTGGGTTTGCTGTGTCAGAGCAGGAGCAGTGTGTATGTAGAGCTAGGGGAGGGAGTTGGGATTACCTGGTCACATCAGGACACCATGACATGCCTGTCCAGACCTTGACCCTCGACTTGGGGCATCTCAGAAAGGGCCAGCACGTTGCTTTCATTAGTGTTATGGCAGAGCAGGTGCAGCAAATGGCTAAAGTAATGTCATTAATTTAATCAGAATGTTCATTTTAATGCATTTTCTAGAAATGAAGCTTCATTTCCTGCTCACAAAGTGCTCTGTGGGATTCCAGAGCCATCCCTAACAAAATTGAGGCTGTCAGAGGAGGGAGCTGCATTTCTTGGGGTGTTTGCCTCACCTCAGCATTGCTGGGAACATTTGCAGGCTCATCTCTAGGGAGTGGGTTTGGTCCTCTGAATTTTTGCCACCGGTTTAATATAATTTGCTTTCTATGTCTTTGCCTTGCAAGTATGAGCCAGATCCCCTTGCCTTCATTTGGGTGTTGGTAAGTATGAGCCATATCCCCTTGCCTTCATTTGGGTGTTGGTGTGGCATGTGGAAAGTGTTTCTGGGTCTGTCCTGGGAGCCATTGGGGTCACATGGAGCCACTGCCAAGGCTGTGCCATTAGTAAAAGACCAGTTACTTTCACCTTGTCAGCACAGCCAGTGGGTTTAAACACACATTATTTGGTCTGTTCCTGGGATGAAAAGGTCCACTAAGCTGCACAGGCAGTTGGAGTAGCATTCAGCAAATCTATGGCAGTGACTGGGGGAAGCAGCAATGAGTAGCAGGAAGGGAACTGACCAGCAGACACCTTCTAAATGCTAATCAAGAGCTACACCTTTTCTAGATTGTTCAGTCCATACTAAGGATGCTGGTTGCTCGTTAAACACCTTAGCTGCAATTTGCTACCATCCATGTGTGCTCTGGGTTGGTATCTGCTGGAAAGGTGTGTCTCTGCCTTCCCAGGCCAGGAGGAAAGGAGAGGGAAGGGATGAAACTGGTCTAGAGACATGGTGGTGTCTTCTGTCAGGTATCCATTCACCTGCTCTCTCCTCCCCAGGTGTCCAGCTCTGCCAGTCCACACAGCAGCTTGGAGAGCCACGTGTTCAACGTTGCTGTGCTGCCCCAGACACCCAAAGCACCTCAGCTTTCCCTTGGCTCCTCCTTGCACATGGCTGTAAGTGCTGGTGGATGGGCTCTGTACTCCCACTTTCCCTGCAGCAGTGCCCAGAGCCTGCACAGGGCAGGAACCACTGGGGCTTGAGTCCTGCACTTGCTATTGTGCTTGGTTCAATGTTTGAACTGGATTCATTCAACAGGGTATGTGCACCAGATAGCTGGAGCAGGAGTGGGAAAATGTGGTGGGTTAGAAGAGTAAATGGTTGGAGAAGGTGGAGAAAATACCCATGAAAAGCTGAACAACTCAGTATTAAAACTGATGAATGTATAGACTGGAAAGAAGAGAGGGAGAGAGAAGGAAAAATCATCATTTTAGGGAATTACCCATTCCTGAAGTCCAGTAAGGATGACAAGAGTGAAACACTGTGAGTTAGATAGTAATGAGTAGGCTTTGCCAGGAATTCCACTGCAAACTTGATCTCAGCTGTAGCCCACCCATGTCAGCAAGTTTCCTTCCCTCATCCTGACATCAGGAACACAGGCTCTAATACATGTGGAAAACATTCAGACAGCCCATTCTGTGCATCCCTGGAACTGAATGGCCTTTCCCTGCAGCATCAGCTCTGGGAATGACCATTTGGGTGAGAGTTGTCTCTCCAAGGCAGTTCCTTCCCCACCTGCATTAAGTGAAAAGGTGATACTGTGATTGAATGTTGGTTTTGTGTGTCCCCATCACATGTGGGTGAAGTCCAGTTTTCTCCTCTACCTCTCCTGCTGTTGCCTGTTCTGCCTGCTAGACTTGAGACCAGGAAAGGCCAAAGGAAGCAGTGGGAGAGGGATTAGTGACAAGTCCATGACACAACAGCCTTGTCAAGGTTTAAAATAGTGGTGACCTTTCCCAGGCAGTAATAAAACATGCTCAGATTGCTACTTGGAGCAATGTAACTCTCTGCTCTTGACTTTTTGTTGTTGTCATTATTGACCAAATTGATGGGAGAGGTGTCTGGCAGAGCCACACTGTGCTGGGTTTTATAGCTAATTGCACACCACAAGATTCAATAGGGCTGTAAAATACATCTTACTGAGGGGCTCCTCACCACCTGTGAATCCTACCTCTGGGAGAGACAAATGGGCCTGGGAGGCAACTATAACCTTCAATCTTCCCATCGTAAAGTTGCACTTCCTTGACTCAGTGTGATTGAGTTCTGTTCATTTGTCTTCAGACTCTGATTTAGTTCGGTTCATTTGTCTTCGTGCTCCTTCAGAATTAGACTTCTAGAGCTGAAAGAAAACACAGTGTATTAAGTCTTCCCATCCCTCTAGTCTTGTCTTTGACTTGTCCTGCTGAGAAAGGTCAAAGGACCTTTGGTGACTCCGGTGGTTAAACTGGATGTAACATCTGTATTGGGTTTTTTTCACTCAAGTTGCCTATTTCCCCCATGCTGGTAAAAAGGAATCTACACTTTGTTCCTGTTCCTGAACCTTCCATGTTCCAAAGCAGATTCCAAAGCCCCTATCCTTAATTCAGCTTGTTCTCTCCCTGTTTGGCTCTCTGGTGCTTTTCATACCCAGATGAGCTGCTTAATTCAGTGACTTCTTGAAGCTCTTAATTCCACAAGATTAAGGTTCATGAACATAAGGTAACTGGTTTTGGGCTGAAGTCTGTTCATGCAGCTCTGTAATTCTGTGATGCACTGCACTGAAGTCTGTTCACGCAGCTCTGTAATTCTGTGATGCACTGCCTGCCTTTGGCTCGTGATGATCCTGTGATGGAAGGATCAGTGCAATTTTAGACAGGTTTAAAACAAAAGGGGAGAAGCTTTGGCTCCTCTCTATTCCAGTGGAAAGGGCTGAGTTGTTTTCAGATTTGCTTTTAAGAGCAAATCCAGTCCAGCTACACCAAACAATGCCAGAAAACTAGGTAGGCAATGAACTAGGTCTTCATCCAGGGAGTTTTTGATCAAACTAGATTTTCCTTTCTCTCTTTCTAGTTGCTGTAGGTCAAAAGAGAAACCCAAGCACCTGTGAGTGTGGAGGTTGTGCATCAGCAGGGGACAGGGGTGTCAGATTTAGGTTTAAGAACTAGGCCTTGACATTCAAAGACTTTTATATTTAACTACAGCAAAGCAAATTCTCTTTGGATGCATTTTTTGGGTGAACCTTCCCCTGTTTCTGGCCTTGATGCTCACGGTGTGATGTGTTTGTTGAGGTGCTGGAGGACCGTGTGACAGTGATTGAGCCCCATCACCTCTCCTTTGTAGACCCGGAGATTCCCAGTGAGAACATCCTGTTCAACGTGACTGTCCCTCTCCTTCCTGGCCAAGGCAAGTGTACCTGTGCAGAGCATGCACTGCCATGCTCCCCGAGCACAGCTCATTCTTCCCTTGGGGGATCGTTCTGGGGAGGCCCCTGGTCATCCATTCCACCTCCTTCCTTGTCTCTCACACACCTTGTCCCTTAACCCCATTTTTCTGCCTTGTTTAGGAGTGAGCCACAGGGCTCACAGTGTTCTTCCTACTGTCTGGAATCTAATGAATATCATGCCCTGTGGCTTTCTGCTTCCCACCTCTCCAGTGAGAGTGTTTGAAGCAGTGACTGTGAGGAGTCTGTGTTAATCTCTCATGGCCCCAGAGCCCTTCCTCCATGCACTTACAGCCATCTGACTCATTCTGGCACCACTGAAGATAAACAAAGAAGTTCTCAGGGAAACAAAAAGCAGCTGTGGCCTTTGGTATCTTGGTTTAAATGGATTCCTCCCGTTAATACTGTGTCTCTGCCTCTGCAGGTATCGTGGAGCACAGAGACAAGCCTCTCTCCCCAGTCAGGTATTTCTCCCAGGCAGATATAAACCATGGCAAGATTGCGTATCGTCCGCCCACCGCAGCTCCTCACCTCAGAGAGATCATCGCCTTCTCCTTCGCAGGTGAGGAGCCAAGTGTTCTTTGGTACCTTGGGACAGGTGGCAGGGCTGCTGCTCTTCCTCCTTGGTGAGGAAACACTCCTGGCTGCTTGAATGGCAGCACTTGCTTCCTCCAAAAGACTCCAAATCCACATCAGTATGTGCTTTCCTGTCCTGACCACACTTATGCTGTGCTCCTGTCTGTCCCATCAGGTCTCCCAGAGTCCGTGAACTTCCGATTCACAGGTATGTGAACTGTCTGCTCTTTCCTGGCCACAGCAGTTTTATCCCTCTGCCCATACCATTGCCTGGTACTCCCTGGCCTTTCTTCTGCTGCAGGCACACGTATGGGCACTCACTGGGAACTCCTGGAAATGCACATGCCTGGGAATGTTAATTCAGCTGTGTCCCAGCAGTGTTGTATAGAAGCTGAGCTGCAGCTTGGTAGAGACATCTTTTTCCTGTGGTTGCCTGGAATCTGCCTAAAAGGCTGGTTCCTTCCCGTTTTACCCCAGTGTGAACAAAGAGTTTTACACTGTTAGTTTTTTCAATACAGCACAAAGACATTTCTGCAATTAAATTGCCCTTTCCGTGTGCTTTCTAGCTTCCACCAGCAGGGAGAAGTCCGTGTTCTGACTTATGAGCATATCTGTGGAAGACAGAATGTCCACATATACACACACAGAATTTTATAAGTCACCTCTGCCTGCTAGGGGTTGAGTTAAGGACAAAGATAAATGCTCTTGGCGGGTGTGAATTGTGTATGTGTCCCTAGACAAAGGTGTGGCTTGGCAAGGTGGGAGAGAATTTGGTGGTGTTGGGTGGCGATTTTGCACACACAGGTGAATTTCCCAGGGGAGAGCCCCTGCAAACCCATCCCTACACTCAGGTGTGCTCTCTCTCTGTGTCTAGTGTCTGGTGGAGAGCACACAACCCCAGAGATGGTGTTTGTCATCCACCTGCTCTCTGCAGAGCAGCAGCCTCCGGTGTTCCAGATCTCAGCTCCGTTCCTGGAGGTCAGCCAGGGGGGCAGAGCCACCATTGGTGAGTGGGTGCAGAGCTCAGCCCGAGGCATGGGGCTCGTTGCAGGGAGCCACGTGGGTGGAGCAGAGTCTGGGGCTCACCTCTGTCCGGTTAGATGTTCCTCCATCCCAGGAGCTGTGTGTGCAGACAGTATTGGTGCCTCAGGAACGTGCCTGGGGCTGTGGCAGTGGTTGTCTGACCGACCAGGGGACAGCAGGGTCAGGGACCTGCTCCTCTTAGGCTGCTCTGCAGTAGCTGAACTGTGGGTGAGTGGTGTGACCTGGTACACTGGGTTGTTCGGGATAAACCACTTGCTGCTGGTGTCAGGAGGTTCTCTGGGGGTGTGTAAATACCTCCCTGCTCTGTGAACGTGTGCACATCCCTAGTGAGCTGAGGGTTTGCACGGGGGTCACGTGTGAGCCACACTAGCATTAACAATACAATATCTGGAGCATCGTCAGGGCACTAATTGTTTCCGTGCAAACAGCAGCTCTTGGGCTGGGGCAGCCCCAGAGTTACTTCACTTCTCATGTGCTGACTGAATTGCAGTTTAGTGACTCCAGTCACAAGAGCACATCCCAAAGCCCCTGGGGATATTCCCAGGGCAGTGTCTGAGGATGCTGAAGTCACACTCGCTTTCCCTGGCACAGGGATCCAGTTGGCTGTGAGCGACACGGATACAGCTCCTGAGGGTCTTTTCTTTGAGCTGGTGAAACCTCCCCATCATGGCATTGTGCTCAAGTACAGCTCAGGTGTGCAGGAGCTCATGAGAGCAGGTGAGTTGAGTAGAGTCTTCCTCAGCACAAGAGAGGGGTCAGTGTGTAAATGTCCACATGGCTGGTTTAGTTGATCAGGAGGAGGCAGATGACCCTGGCAGATACGGATGCATCCATAGGGAAGCCTTATCTAGCTGTGAGAGGTGTGAGCTCAAAGCAGCTGGGAGGGAAGGAGAATCCATGCCCTCCCTGAGAATCACAGAGAGTCACTGTGTCTGAAATCAGGAAGGTTACAGCTTTTCCTCTGCCCTGCCAGCTCCTTGATAAATGTCCTCATAACAAGGCAGGATTAAATGCCAGTTTAATACTTGATTAAGTCTTTTGCTAAATTGGGGCCTTAGGCCATTTGGATTGGATTCATGCTCTGAACAGAGTCTGACGTGTGTGTTTTCTCTTTGGGAAGGTGACACCTTCACTTACGAGGACGTCACTCGAAGTGCTCTGCAGTACGTGCACGATGGCTCAGCAGCAGCAGAGGACAGCATGGAAATCTCTGTCACCGATGGTGTCACCACAGTCACCACAGTGCTGAGGGTGGAAGTGTCCCAGTTGGACAGCAATGGCCCTCAGCTGGCCCCAGGCTGCTTGTTGGCCATCACTGTGGCCAGTAAAAGCTCTGTGACTCTCTCTCGACTGCACCTTGCTTACACTGTAAGTTCTCATCTCTTCTAAGCCCAGGGAATGCTGCCAACCTGCCTTTCCTTATCCCACACAGCTTTGCCTCACACCTCTGTGCTGTCAGCATGGATTGTGGGCAGAGCTGGAGTTCTGAGTGCTGCCAAAGAGGGGATAACAGACTCTTTCATCCCCCAGGGATTTGAGGCTATCCCCGCTTGACTGCAACAGAGGTGAACTGCCATGCTAAACATGAGAGCAGACTTAATCCCAGATTGCTCTATCAAACAGACTTGCTAATAAAGCACATGGATTTGCCAAGTGTTAATCCCTTGAAAATTTCAGTCCCCTCAACCACCTGCCAAAATTTCCACATTCTTTATCTGGAGAGATTTGAAGGGGGAAGGATTAAGCAACCCAAGATGCTGCACTGCTTGGAAGCTCGAGTTGGTCCCAGGGGTTGTGTGCTGTGCAAGACATCTCCTGCTGGTGTCATCTCCAGGAAAGCTGCTTTACTCCTTGCAGATGATTTAGCAGCACATGCACTGGCAGTGAGGTTTGGGGATGCACATGTGCTCCCCTGAGGGCTGAGAGATTGCAGCGCAGGCATGAGGCTGGAGGACCTGAGGGGGTGGCAGTCAGGGAGATGACTGGGAGCTGCAGGGCTGAGGGAGGACAGGAAGGCAGATGGATGATTTTCCCAAGGGATCAGTCTGGATACAAGTCTGGAGTCTGCCCTGTTCCCCTGTTAAAGAAGAAGGCTGACAGGGAGCTGTTGAGGTCTAGTCTGAGTAAGAGGACAGTTAGGGAAAAGAGGATTTCATTCCTGAGCCACATGCTGAGGACATAGTGATTTCTGCTTTGGGTCTTATTTTTCAACCAGCCAACAAAACCTGCTCTGAGAGAGATGACATCTGAGCTGTGATGTCAGGGGTGGTTGTGCTTAACGTGGTTGAAAAGAGCCAAAATCAGCTTTTGGTTTAGTGTGAAGTAATTTGTCAGTGAAAATGCCAGGTTTATGTCTGGGACACTGTGTTGATGTGATACGAGGACACAAAGAGAAACTCTTTGAGCTGAGAGAAAATGAAAAGGCATTTTGTGTTCGATTTTGACGATGTCAACCCACTTGACTTTCTTCGTCTAGCAGAGCTTCATTTATTATGCATCATCTGTGGGTCTGACCAGCTGGACACATGTATTTCCCTATAAAACACTTATTCTTCCTTCCATTTTTAGTGGAGACAAACAGTGGCTAATTTTGTTTTGGTTTGGTTTGTTTCTTGGTGTTTAGGACAACAATTCTCCTGACTCAGAGATCAGAATCCAGCTGATATCTCTGCCTGCATATGGAACCCTCTTCAGGATGTCAGGCTCCCATGATGAAGAGCTTTCCAAGGTCTATAATTTCACCATGGAAGACATCAACAGCCAGAGGATCAGGTATCAAAGAGCTGTTCTCCTTCAAACCATGCCAGTTCAGAGCTCAGTGGGCTTTCCCCAGGGATCTCTGAGCTATGTTGTGTTAGCTCAGTGTTTCAAAGGTGTTTTTTTCCTTTCTTGGCATCTTGGCTCTCTGTGGATAAGAGCATTTCCTGTGTGCAGAATGTTTCTGCATGACTGAAATGCCAGTACTTGGTGTAGCTTCAAATTATGGGTTTTTTTCTGTGTCTGTAATGTCATGGTGACACTTTTGGGTAGGCAGCAAACCAGTGATTCGTGTAGCTTCAAATTATGGTTTTTTTTCTGTGTTTGTGATGTCATGGTGACACTTTTGGGTAGGCAGCAAACCAGTGATTTCAAAGAATTCAGGGGATGAACGCGAAGGAGAGTTGGGAACTGAGATACCAAGAGGTGTGTGCTCCCCTCTCACTGCAGGGGTGGGATGGATTTGCCTGACCCAGGCTGTGTTCTGACTTCCACAGCTACTCCACCACGTTTGAGACCAGCAATCAGCCAGTCACAGACGTCTTCCACTTCGCGGTGTTTGATGCTGACAACAACCGCCTGGACAGGCAGATGTTCACCATCACCATCACATCTGCCCAGACACTGCCATCACTCATTGCTTTTGCTGACCATATCACTGTAAGTGCCTGCCCAGGGTGCTGGGAACAGAGCCAGGGATGGCTTAGGTGGGAAGGAATTGCACAGTTTTGCTGGCCTGAGGGGAGATGAGTGAAGAAAACAGGGTGTTACACGTGCAGCGCAGTGAGTGCCAAGAGTTAACAAATCACACGGAGGCCAGAGGAGGCTGCCAGTCTGCCTGCATCCCTCAACCTCATCTGCTTACCCCAGTTCTGGTCAGGAGCTGGTTCTTCCTAGAGTGTCCTGTTGATACCAGTGCAACAAGTCTGACTTATCCCTGTTTGATATTTTGCCCCTTATTTCACCAGCTTGTGTGTAAAAGATGAGCAGAAGACAAGCCTGAAAACAGCTGGATTGGCACACAGCATTTCACACTCCTTAGCAAAGCCTTTTGAAGTCATCTCCCTCCTTTCTAGCTCTGCATTCCCCCTCCCTTGCTTCAGAAGGCTCTCCTCCACAGGAGATGCAGATCTTGCCTGCAGGAGGTCAGCATGACTGCCACTTCTCTTCCTGCCCCATAAAGCACTCACAGGCTCTCGGGGGCCAGGCAGGCTTTGTTCTTCCAGTCCCACCTCACCTCCCAGCTGATTTCCTGCTCATCCCATCTAGAGGAGGATGGGATAAGATTCCAGAGCTCAGGCAAGCCCCTTCCATGGAGGCAGCCTCGCTCACTAGCGATGTGTGTGCCTGCTGTTGCTTTCCAGGTGGATGAAGGGGGCAGGGTCCCACTGCTGGCTCATCACCACTTCACTGCTGATTATGATACTGCTGCCAAGGAAGACCTGAGGGTCACAGTTGTCACTCTGCCTATCTATGGCTACATTGAAAACACAAAGACAGGTAAAGTGCTTGGCTGCCTCTTCTTCCTCCTGGCTGTTCAATGGTCCTAACAGGATCACATCTATCAAATCTACACTTAAAATTGCAGCTTCCCCAATGCCCACTCTAGCACAGCAGATGTTGCTTTGCTCAAAGGTCAAGCAATGCTGTAGGAAGGAACATCCATCCTCCTGCAGCTTTCACAATCTGCTATTTTTCTCCTCGTCTGCTGCTTTTACTTCTAGTTTATCAGTTACTTGAACATCCTTTCACTAGTGACACTTGGTTTGCAGGTGAGAGTTTTGGCCCACAGAGTGAATCTGCAGGGACTGCAGACACATCCTTTTTCCTTCAAGATGTTCTGGAGAACAGCATTTACTACTTCCAGAGTGTCCATGAAAGCATTGAGCCCACGAGTGATGTGTTCAGCTTTTATGTGAGCGATGGTTTCAGCCAGTCAGAGGTGCAGAGCATCAACATCACAATCCAGGTATGCCCTGCTGGCTGCCAGAGCCCTGTCTTTTCACACAGACACATGGCTTCTACACTGCAAGCTTTGCTCCTTCCTTTGGACTAGGTGGGAAGGGAATTAAAGGGAGTTTCCTTCCCCTGGTACAGGCTCATAATTTGCCTGTGATGCTCGAGAACAATTGTGCATTGCGGCAACTTCCCCAGGGCTTACTGCTCTGGTGTCTCCTCCCTCTGGGAAGCAGCGGTGACGCTGGATAGGTTTGGAGAGACTAATGTTGTCAGCAGTAGTAGTGTCATTTGGGAGCTTGTACTTCGTTCAGTTGGGTCTTTCCCCCTTGTTCCTTTCCTGGCTTTGACCACGTGCCCTTGTGCAGCGCCAGAATGATGAGCCCCCGAAGATGGTGCTGGAGCCTGTCCGAGTGCAGGAGGGCTCAGGTGTGGTGGTTACCAACTCCTCCCTCAGCCTGCACGACCTGGACACCCAGAACAGTGAGCTGGTCATCGTGGTGAGCAAAAGTCCTGAGCATGGTAAGCCTGGCCAGCTGAGGGGTGAGGGAGTCTTTTTGCATGGGTGTCTGGGTGTCTTCATTCCTGTGTGTGCTGACCACCCCCTGACCTGAGAGAGATGAAGCACACACACTCTGTGTTTGGCCCAGCAGCCACAGAAGGATTGTGCTTCAGCACAGACCTATTCCTTGCGAGGTGTCCCTTGCTCTTTATGGGAGAAGAGGAAGGGGGACTGCATGCATTTCCCCAGGAGGTTCCCTTTGGTGTTACCCCAGTTCCTGTTGTCAGGTGGCATCTCTGTGCAGTGAGGAAGCTGGGCAGGGTGGCAGGTGGAGGTGTCCCCATCACTTTCTTCCATCTGTTGTTGTCAGGTCAGCTCCGCAGGAGACAGACAGCAGCTGAGCCCCCTGAGCTTGGACATGTGCTGTCCAGGGGCTCATCCTTCACCTACCAGGACATTTTGGATGAGTTGATCGTTTATACTCGGAGCAGTGCAGCAGCACAAACAGATGAGTTTGGCTTCTCCATCACAGATGGCCTCTACACCCAGGTGGGGAGGCTGAAGTTCTCCATGGAGCTGCCGAAGCAGCAGCCACCCACGTTAGCTGTCAACAGGGACCTGCAGCTCCCAGCTGGTATGAGGAGGGGGAGGACAGTGGTGTTGGTTGCTGTTGCTGGATGGTCCAGTCTAAACCAGTGGCTAGACTGGACTGATTGTGGGCTTTGTTTCTGTGGCCCAGGCTCTGCAGCTCCACTCACGGCTCAGCACCTGAAGGCAGCAGCTGTTCATTCAGGGGACACAACCATTCGGTTTGTCATGAAGAGGGATCCCAGCATGGGCCACCTGCAGCTGGCCAAAACTGATCATCCAGTCCAGATCTCTACCAAGGCACCTGTCAAAAGTTTCACGCAGGCTGATATCAACCAAGGTGAGAGTGCTGGGTTTTGGATAATCACAGCAAGGATATGTGGCTGGTTTAGGCAGTCCTGCGAGGAGCAGGAGGTTGGACTTGGTGAGCACAGTGGGCCCCTTCCAGCTTGAGCTATTCTGTGTTCTTTAAAAGAGGGGGAGAATGACCTGAAGCAGGGAAGGGAGAGGGAAAGAACTAAGATAAGGTTGTTAAGTTAGAGCAGAAACACATATCATTAAGCAAATATTAAAATGTCCCTCTCAGCAAGAGAAAAAGTAATGAAACCCAAATCCAGGAGCTCTGTCAAGCCCCAGGTCCCTCAGCTAATGGTGCCAGCCTGGTTCCAAACTCAGAATGAAATGATGCAGCCTGCAATAAACCACCTCTTTTCTCCTGTCCCTCTCTGCAGGGCGAGTGGTGTACAGCCACAAGAAAGGGGATCCTGCTGGAAATTTCGCCTTCACCTTTGATGTGGTCGATGCAGATGGAAACAAACTGACAGACCAGGTCTTTTATATCCATGTATTAGGTAAAAGAGAGTCAAGTTACATTTTCTTCGCTGCAGAGCTCAGGCCTCCACAGATTCCCATCCGACGTGTGTCGCAAGCGAAGGTGTAACTCCTGAGCTGTGGTTTGGATTTGCTGTTTGCCTTTGAAGTGTGGGGCATGGGGAGAGTTTGCTGATGTCAGGATTAGTTCTTTGACTTCTGACAAACTCACTGAGATGGCAGAGAATTTCCCCCTAATATCTCGATGCTGTTAGATTGCCTTGAAGATATTGTAATGTTACTGTGCCCTTGATGGATGCCAAGACCCAAAGTACCTGGTTTGGAATTACTGAGATGTTTGTGTGTGTTTTTTGCTGGAACACCCGATGAACACCTTGGGATGGAGGGTGACTGTCTCCTGACTCAGCTTTGTATTAACCCTTTCAGAGGACAGATTTCCCCCCTCCATCATCACCAACAAGGGGCTGGTGTTGGATGAGAACTCAGCAAAGGTGATCACCACTCTCCAGCTCTCAGCCACTGACCAGGACAGTGAGCCCACCCAGCTCCAGTACAAGGTCACCAGGCAGCCACAGCTGGGCCACCTGGAGCACGTGGCCTCCCCAGGTGAGCAGGGTGGTGTTTGACTCACTTGGGTCCTTGGAGCAGCAAACACTGGGGGTTTAGGAGCCCTAAAGAGTCACTGCAGGAAAAACATGCCTGGAGGCAGCAGCACAGAATTCTGTGTGCCAATAGAAATCATATTGTCCTTAGCCCAGAGAGTTGGAGAATAGGGTGAGTGGAGGCCTGAGGGTCTCTGCTGTGGATTTATTCAGTGGGTTTGTGCCCCATGCTCACCTTGCCTGGTGGACTTAACAGACCAGTCCAGCTTGCTGCTCCTCTTTCAGGAGCTATTGCTGCTTGTGCATGACAGGTAAACCTTCAACCTCTGCTGTGCCCACAGCATAGCACAGCACCCCAAAGAATCCATCCCCTAACGTCCATGCAAACAGAGCCCACCTTGGTGAACAGACAGCTTGCTTTGTCCCCATCTTGGCCAGTATGTCCCTTGATCCCTAAAAACCAGGCTCTT